TGGTCTGAGATGTCATTTTCATATACAGAGTCCCCCAGACAGAGCCTTGCTGGCCACCCACTTGCGAGACTCCTCTCTCAGGAGCTCTCAACAAACTTTTCCTCCTCTTAACCTCCCTGTCCTCATATCCATTCTTTGGTTATCAAGAGACATGAACTCACAGGTTGGGAGTCGCTTCCCTGTGACAGACAATTGAATGCTTGGCTGTATGTGCAGGGCCCTGGGTTCTATCCCCAGCAATACACACAGACTAGGCAGGGGACTCAAACATAAATCTTTCTGTTTTCCATAGTCTTTTTGTTGTCGGGCGTTTGCTTTAGAAATGGCTCACCAGCTAAAAGTGGTCCAGGTCCTTCTCACCTCAGACAGAATGGATGAGACAAGCCAAATTCGGTGCCAGAGGTTCATCTGAAAAGTGAGGGGTGAAGGAGTAAAGGAAAAAGTAGCTCGGTAGAGTGAACTTGGGCCAAACAGAAGAAAGGCTAAAAGCAAGAGTAAAAGTGCAGATGTGAGAAGCAGGTCAGACTTACACACTTGCTGTAGAGAAGAATGTATGTTAGAGAGGTATGTCAGATAAATCAAGAATCTAGAAGCCATAGGCTTAGCAAGATCCTGTTCACTTATCTGCAGCAGCGTTGGAGCCTTGCTTTTTGAAGAGAAATTTGAAGTCTTCCAGAGGCTTTCAGAAGCAGCTTTCCTTTTGGGTGATCTTGTTCTTTAGACAGTTTAGGTGGGACTAGCTTTAATCTAGAAAGACGAATCCAGTTATCTATCGCTGCCACCTTCACTGCAGCAGATGTTGCAAGGATCACTGAAAAGGGGCCCCCCATTTTGGCTTTAACTGGTAGGCTGGTGTTCTCTCTTTCCAAATTTCACAAGCACTTGGTCTCCAGAGTGGACACTAGGTGGTCCCCTTGGGCCAGGGGCTGGCAGAACTCTGTTCCCGTGTATTTGGATAGCTTGTGGCACTTGACCCACACCGATAAAATACTATAAGGACCTGGAAGACTCAGGTCTACTATCAATCATATCAGAGGACAGAAGTGGTCTCCCATAGGACATCTCAAATGGGCCCAAACTTGGCCCAGTTTTGGGCATGTTACAACCCTCATGAGTGCTCGTGGCAGCAGTCGGAGCCAGGACTCAGACATCTCTTGGCAAAGTTTTGCCAGAGCTCACTTTAGTGTCTGGTTGGCTGTCTGCCCTTCCAGAAGATCAAGGCCGTCACTTGGGATGGAAGTAGTCCTTTATTCCTAAAGCCTTTGCCAGTCCAAGTTGTTTGGAGGTAAAAGAAGGTCCATTGTCACTCTGGAAGGACTGCAGTAGTCCACATCTAGGGGTGATTTCTTTAAGAAGCACCTTGACTACCTCAGTAGCCTTTTCTGAAAGGGTAGGGAAGGCTTCAGCCCAGCCTGTGAAGGAGCCAGGGACCAGCATCCGTTTCAATCCTGCACATGGTGGCATGTCCTCTCCTCTGCACAGGCTCTAGTAAAGGAGGCAGTTTGGGCCTGCCCGGGCTGTTGTAGGCACAGAGTGGATGCGCTTTGCAGACCTATTGGGTGGTTGTTATTAGTCCTGGTCCTGTGAAAACCTGAGTGGCCATTTCCAATGTAGCATCTCTCCCCACATGGGAGGAAGTGTGAAGTGTTTTTGTAGCCTTCCACTGTGTCCTTGGGGAAGGACCAGTTTGTTCCCTAAATGTCAGCAGAGCCCCTTTTAATTCCTCCTTTTCCTAAGGCTCATTTGCCTTCCAGAGGGTAGATCTAGACTGGTTTTAATGGTTCCTTGGGAATTGGGAATAAGACTGCTGTCTCAGGGCTGTGGGGCCACCCGTTTTGCCTCCCTATGCGCCTTTTGATTTCCCAAGGAGACTTCAGACAGTCTCTCTGGTGCCCTTTACCGTGCATGACCAGCCCGCCTGGGAAGATGGACTGCCTCTGGGAGCTGTAGAATATCCTGTCTGCTTTACAGATGATTGTCAGTCAGTAAGCCCATTCCTTCCAGATTGCTGCATATGCACCAGAAAGGCATATCTGGAGTCTGTATAGATGTTTAGCCTTCTGCTTTTTCCTAATATCAATGCGTGAGTAAGAGCTACTGGCTCTGCCTCCTGATCGGAGGTTCCTGGGAGAAGATGTGTAGCTTCAGTGGCTGTTGTGAGCTGACAGCGCATAGCCTGGCTTGTGATGTCCTCCGACAGTGAAGCACAGCCTCCTGAGGACCTTAGAGGAGCAGGTCTCTGACATCTGCTTGCTTGCGTAGGTCTGGGAGATGACTTGCTCCTGGGAGTGGCTAACCTTGGGGCCTGTGGGCATCAAAGAACCAGGCTTAATAGTAGTGCAAATTGTTTTGTTTTTTTGGGGGGGGGGGGCTTGCCAGGGATCAAACTCAGGACCTCTCACTTTCGAGGCAGGCGGTAGAACCACTGAGCTAAATCCCCAGCCCAGTAATGCCAATTTTTATAATAACCTCAGGGTGTCTTAAGGACGTAGTTTGATACTTGGTGAGAGTTCCCCTGTTAACCACAAGTAACCTTTTGTCTCCAGAGTGCCCCTGACCTGATGAGAGTCAGAACTTCCAGTCTCCGTCCTGAAGTTAGCCTTGTAGTTTCCTCTGTTAATACAGCTGCAGCTGCTACTGCCCTCAGGCGGGGTGAGCATCCAGCTGCCACTCCTTCTAACTTCTTTGAAAAGTATGTTACTGGGCAGGGTTCTGATCACAGTCTTTGGGTCAAGACCCACAAAGCAGTTCCTCCCTTTTGTGATATATGGAGGAAGAAGAATTTTCTTAAGACAGGCATTCCCAGTGCTGGAGCCTGAGTCAAGGGCTGCTTTATGTCCCTAAAGCATTGCCAGTCGCTTCTGTCCGTTTCAGGGGTGCAGACTTGGGCCTTTTACTGTCTCATATGAAGGCTTTGCCATTAGTCCAAACTGAGGCAGGCAGAGCCTACAGAAGCCTGCCCTTCCCGGGAAGGGACAGAGCTGCTGTTTGGTGGCAGGAGGCCCAGGATCACAGACAGCCTGGATCTGGCCCTGGATGGCTCGTTGCACAGGTGTATGAATATTTCTTAGAGCCTCATGGAGGGAATCAGAGGGTTGGGGGTGCTGCAAATTCTTCTTGGAAGGTAGAGAGTTTGTGCAGTGTTATGATTGGATAATGTCTGACTTGCTGGGATATCATTATATGTTCCTCGAGGCATTTTCTGGTGCCCGAGCCAAAAGGTGAGGACTGTCTAAACCTCTGTGACAGTTCTCTGTGGGAGAACTGTCCACGTACAATGCTGCTTTTCTCTTGAAATGGGATTTTTTCCATTCAGAGGCATAAGCTGGGAGTCTGGATGTAGGGAGAGGTAGAAGAATACGTTAAAACTAAGACTGAGAACGAATTAGTGTCCCCTTGAATTTGGGAGAGATTTGTGTATGAATCTGCCACTAGAAGAGGGATGGGAATGACAGCCTTGTATTCTCCCAAGGGCTTTATTACAGGGAGAGTGGGAGTGTGTCAAGGGAATTGATGAGCTTTTAAAAGGCCATAGTTTAAAAAAAAAAAGGCCATAGTTGAGAAGTCTGTCTCTGAGAGGCTGGAGGCCTTTTTGAGCCTCTTCCTTAGTGGATACTACTTTCGATTAGGAAATTGGCTGGGGTCTTTTAGTCTTATTAATTACTGGCATAGCTGAATTTGCCCTACCAGTATTCCATTCTACCATGCAGCAGGATTTACCTGTTGACTAATTTGGTCAGGGAGACCTGGGGCAGTATCAGCAAATAAAATCTGTTTGGGCCTTAGCTGGAATTTGAGAATTGCCCCCAATTTTGTTGATAAATCTCTTCCTAGCAAGGGAGCAGGGGACGGTAGGACAATTAGTCCTAAACTCATGGTTAGACATCTGCCCTTCAAAGTGCTATCAGAGGAGGAGTAAAGAATCTCTGACTCTAGGGGTCCCTTCGAACCCAGCCACGCCCCACCCCTGTGTCCTCCTGGCTTTTCTGATGCTGTGTCCTGGGCTGGGCTCTGCCCAAGGCTGTCCTGTGTGCTCAGGCGGGCCAGGGGGTTCATCTCTCTGCCCTTGCTAGAAGGTGAGTGGCTGGGGCTGGACGGTACTGTCCTCTTCTAGACCAGGGCCTGGCACATAACAGGAACTCGGTAAATACTCAGCAACAAGTGAGTGACTGCTGAGGGTAACAAAACAGCCGGGCAGGCCAGTGAAAGAGAAGAGGCACAGACTTGATTCATGGAGCAGAGGTGGACTGACGGCAGGCCAGAGGCCACCAGCCCCGAACAGAGAAAAGGCAGGAAGCTTTACAGGGAGGTCTGCCACGTCTGTCATGTGTAGGGGCAGAGCAGATATCTGCGGTCGGGGTCCATGCAGCGATCAAGGCAGGTATCTGGATATTTTCAGGTGACTTGGCATTGAAAAGATGCTGTACTTTGTAGCTGTTACCTCTTTGCTGGGAACATCCCATCCTCTGTTCTGAGTTTGAGATAACGTGGCTTTTGTCAGGTGGAGACAGCACCTGCATTGGCTGCCTGTTTTGCTGTGGTTTTTGTGTCTTGTCAAACTGTAGAGCACATTCATCAACCATTTCACGACTAGCTCAAGCCTGACCCTAAGTACAGTAAAGTATCTCATTTTGTATTGTATTCATTCATCAGTGTGAGTAGGCGTCATTCATACATTTCTGGCAACTTGGGTTATTTCTCTAGTGACCTCCTCATGTTCATTACCCATTTTGTGTCGGGCTTTTGAGTTTGTCTTCGATAGGTGGAGTTTAGGGTGCTGGAGGGCAGCCAGGTAAACTGAAAGTACAGTTCAAGAGCCTGCTGGTTTGTAATCACCCTAAATACTGCAAGCAGCCTGAGGCCCCCAGTGCTGCCCCAGGCGTCCTCTGGCCTTGCAGAATCCAGCTCGGTTCTCCCTGAGGCACGTCTCAGACTGCTCTGTTTCTCGCATTCTCCCAAGACTTTCGCATTTTAGGATTCTTTTTTTTTTTCTTTCTCAGGCTTATGGTGAGGGCTCTGGTGCTGACTGCAGACGCCATGTTCAAAAACTAAATCTGCTGCAGGGACAGGTTTCTGAGCTGTCACTCAGGTATGAGGGTTTGGAGGGGGCGTGTTGTCTTGGCCTGCTTTTTTTTTTTTTAGGTATAACTTTACTGTCATTCACTAAACACACACATATACACAAATTAAAATTATTCAAAGAAAAACAATGCAAGGGGAAAATAACCATATATATATATATTTTTTTTTTTTGGTACGGGGGATTGAACTCAGGACCTTGAGCTTGCAGAGCAGGCGCCGGAACCACTGAGCTAAATCCTCAGACCCGACCATATAATATTCAAATATAATAGAACTCAACCAAAGCAAAACTGAAAAGCACTTAAACATTTTTCCATATAATTTTTAAAAAACACGTCAAGCATTAACAAGACGTCAGAAGATATGATTTGTTTCAGATGCTGCGTCTTAACTGGGTGGTGGAGGTATACAGCGAAGGGATCCTTAGCTTTCTGTGTTTCACAGCACAGAGAATTAAATGCCTTGGACCGTCCTCCCACAGAAAGTGCCGCCACAGTATTTGAAATGCACTGAGGCACTGTCAAAAGTGAAGTGAATCGCAGCACTCAGGGAGGCCGAGGCAGGAAGGTCACAAGTTCAAGTTCTGCCTGGGCAATTTAATAAGACCCTGTCTCAAAATTAAAATAAAAGGGGGTAAGGATATAGCTCAGTGTAGAGCACCGCTAGGTTCAGTTTCCAGTACCATGAAAGAGAGAAGGCAAACGTGCTGGTTCTGAAGATGGCACATGTGCAGCAAAAAAGAAAAATGAAGTAAAAGCCAGCATCCCAAGAGGATGCACTTGAGCGTGGGGTGATCGGAGCTGCTCAGTGCCAGGCTCAGAGACTCCAGGCCAAGCCTGCGTCTGCCCACAGTGAGCCCTAGGTCTGCTGTTCACAGCCCGAGCGCCCTGTGCTGGCCCTGGCGCTGGCCGGGACCTGGGAAGCACAGGAGACCCCCTGTGTGTGTCACCCTTCTGCAGTCTGCAGCCTCACAGAGACTCAGTTGTCCCAGGAAACAGGCAAATGTAGCTCCTCTCTGGAGCAGCAAGTCTCCCACCCAAGCCTCAAACAGTACCTCAGGTTAGGTTCTAAGGAGCACATATTCGGGTTATATACATACATGGTGTGTGGTGCTGGAGGTCAGAGCCAGGGCCGTGTGCACACCAGGCGGGCACTCTGCCACTGAGCTGTGCCCCAGCCCTGCTACTCAGATGTAGAAATCGACACTCGATGGAGCACAGCACCGTGGGAAAAAGCCAGCACAGCAGTCAGGAAAGTCAGCCCCATAAAGACGGCAGCACTCAGAACACCTAGTGTTTAACGTGCTCAGCAAGATAATATGGGGGACTTTGAAAATAGCCAAGTATAAATTGAAGAAGAAATGAAGTGTTTAGAGAAATTATAAATAAGTCATTGGATTTAAAAATTCAAGCCAGGTGTGGTGGCGCACGCCTGTGATCCCAGCACTTGGGAGGCTGAGGCGGGAGGATCGCTTTGAGTTTGAGGCCAGGCTGAACTACATAGTGTGTGACACCTTGTCTCACAAAATTTTTTTAAAAATTCAATGGGCAGGTAATAGGAAAACCAAATATCTTGTTTTTCTTCTGCTCTCACGCCACAGTCAGTAGAGACTTCTGTGACCCTAAAAAGTGTGAGTTTTTTCCCCAACAGCAAACAAGCCGTTCTGCAGTGGGTGGCAGCGTGTCCTCCGACACTGCCTACCTGGAGACACGTCAGACCGTGGGGTGGGCCAAGTCCAGGCCTCTAGAACTGACCGGTTATACACTGGGCTCCCAGCTGTCTGTGTTACTTTTCTCAACACCCAAAGTTAAGGAGGAGAGGTTTACTTAGCTCACAGGTTGTAAAGGTTTCAGTCTAAGGCAAGGTGGCGTGGGAGAGGGGCGTTGCAGAGGAGAAACCGTGTATGGCGTGGTGGGCAGGAGGCAGCAGCAGCAGAGGACTGGGTCCCTGTGGGGTCGAGGCCCCTGGGCCAAGCCTGCCTTTTCCTTTTCTCTCTTCCAGGCTGCCTACCTTTGGGGCTGTGCCACCCACACCCAGGGTGGGGCATCCTTAACCCCAGCATCACACACCCTAGATCCAGCTACCTCCAAAAAGCCCACCCATGAGCACTTGAGGTTTTGGGGGGCAGCTAGACACGAGCCTGAACACCAACGATCCCCTCCTCAGATGCCGCTAATTTGCTAGGGCAGCTTGCAGAGCTCCGCGAAACACTGTGCTTACATTTACTGTTTTCACCTGAAAGGTGTTGTTGTCGTGTTGTCGTGTTGTTGTTGTTTAGAGACAGGGTTACACTGTGCAACAGCGACCCTCCTACCTCAGCCTCCCAACTACTGGGATCACAGGTGTGCAGTACCACATGAGGCACAAGGTACATTTCTGAGCCAGAAAAGTATGCTCTGTCTGCAGCCCAAAGGGTAGGAGAGAAGAGATTTTCGTATCCAGAATTCCAGAGTTATTCCTTTTTATGTAAATAAGGCACTGGGAAAGTCACCCTATCAAACACCATGTATGAACTGTCCTGTCTGAAAACTCAGTTGGGGCCAGGGACTTAGCTCAGTGATTCCACCGTCTGCCTCCCAAGTGTAAGGTCCTGAGTTCCATCCCTGGTACCAGAAAAACAAACTCATCAGGCTTCTTGTTACATGTAAGTGAAGGGTCTGAAATAGTGTCTTATAGGGGCCGGGATTTAGCTCAGCAGCTCTGCGCCTGCCTCACAAGTGCAGAGTCCTGAGTTTGATCTCCCGTACTTGAAAAAAAGGAAAAGAAAAGAAATAGTGTCTTATGGCCAGGTGTGTGGGTGCACACCTGGAATCCCAGCACTTGGGAGGCTGAGGCAGGATCGCCACAAATTCAAGACCAGCCTGAACTATATAGCAAGACCCTGTCTGCAAAAACAGGGGCAACCTGTAGGCCCAAGGGAAGTCACTCATTGTTCAGGTTCAACCTAGGGTCTTCGCACTGAACTACATCCCAAGCCATTTTTTTGTTTTGTTTTGTTTTTGTTTTGTTTTGTTTTGTTTTGTTTTGGTACTGGGGATCAAACTGTCGAAGCAGGCAGCAGAACCACTGAGCTAAATCCCCAGCTCAAGCCATTTTTATTTTGAGATTGGGCCTCACTAATTTGCTGAATTCTCCAGGACAGGCTCAAAGTTACAATCTTCCTGCCTCAGCCTCCCAGTGCTGGGATTACAATGTATACCACTATGCCTGGCCGGAATCATTTTTCAGTAAAAGCAGCTTTGGAGTCCCTGACTGTCTCTGCTTTTTTTTCTTTTTGGTACCAGGGATCGAACTCGGGACCTTGCACTTGCAGGCAGGCACAGCGCCACTGAGCTCCATCCCCGGCTCCACCTTGCTTCTCTGGGTAGGGTTAAAGAGGAAGGAACTTTATCACCATCTGCATTGAAACTAGGCTGTTATCTCCTGGTTTCAGAATACTTGAAGGAGCAGGCGTGGTGGCGCAGGCCTGTGATCCCAGCAGGCTGAGGCAGGAGGATCACCTGAGTTCAAGGCCAGCCTGGAGTAGGTAGCAAGACCTTGTCTTGAAGAGTGGTCGGCCTAAGAGGCTGACAGAGGAGGCTGCCCGGGCGCTGGCGGGCAGTACGTGGGCTTCCGGGACCAAGTAGTGGTACCACGGGCACACACAGCCCTGTGTCCTGCTGGCCAGCCCTGCTCGGGCTGCACCGGCCCCTGGCTCTGGTCCCCATTTCTCTAGTACGTGAGGGAGGAGGAGCTTGAGCAGGGCTAACAGCCCCCAGCTGTGCCTGGGGTCCCCTCACCCCGTCAAGCCCCAGGGCTGCCTCAGTTTTGTCTTTCTTCCTCCATCATTCTTCTGTTTTTGTGTTTAGAGACAGGGTCTTTGCTTTGTAGTCCAGGACGCCTTGACCTCCTTGACCTCTTCGGTCCTCCTGCCTCAGTATCCTGAGTGATTGCTGCCTGCGAGCTCAAGCCCAGCCCAGGGAAAGTCCTTGACAAGTTTTCTCTGCTGCCTTCCTGGGGCTCTCCAGTCCCCCACGCCGCAGGGGATGAGCTGCCTGGTGCAGGGCCCAGGAGGGGCGGGTCTCCACATAGGGCACATCCAGACGGGCAGCCAGGCCCACCCTGCATTCAAGGGCCCCCCAGAAAAAGCCACCAGGGCCCCAGGAAGTACCCCTAAGGCAAGCACTGGGTGTGGGCACCCTGTACAGTACCCTGTTAACTTCACACCCCACACCTTGGGAAGAATTGGGGTCTCATTTTTATTTTGGGGGGTGTGTGTACGTTCAGGCTGGCCTCAAACTCTTGGGAATCCTCCTCAGCTGCCCTAGTGCTTGGATCACAGGCATGTGCCACCGTACCCAGCAAGAATTGGTTGATCAAGTAGTGGGGCAGCATCGCTGAGGGGCCTGGGAGCCTGGCCTAGGTGAGGATTTCAGCCTGCCCAGCAGTTTCCCCAGCTGCTGGCCAGGTGTTCACAGGGCTGCACCCTGGCTCTTCCCAAAGCCTGGCCGCGTCCTCCTGGGCTGTGCTGGCTGAGGGCCCTTTGCTGACAAGACTGGACATGCACCTTCTCTCCCCAGGGGTCGGAGCCAGAGCACAGCAGAGCCTCCCCATAGCCCAGCTGCCCAGGGCCCCCTGGAGTCACAGGTCAGTGAGAACAGCGCCCCCTCTGGTCACGGGACACGAGGTGTGCACCTGTGCAAGCACAGTGCTGGACCTGGCCCGGGGTTCTGCTCATGCCGGGATCCAGCCCCCACCCCCACCATGCTGTGCTGGGCTTGTTTTCTGGACGAGGTCCCTGCAGTGACCAGGCTGGCCCCAACTAGTGACCCCAGGCAGGTCTTACAGAGTAACAGTGACAGTCAGCACAGTGGTGCACACCTGTAATTCCAGCTTCAGGAGGCTGAAGCAGGAGTATCGAGAGAATTGCAGGCTCCAGCCCAGCCTGGCCACAACAGTTCGCTGGAGACCCTGTCTCAGATCAAAACAAATTGTAATGTCTAACCCTGCCTGCAGGCTCCTTCACCACAGCCGTGTTGTAGAGGCAAGGGACACAGGCTGGTGAAGGCTTAGGGGTGTCACATGCAGCTCAGGGCAAAGCCCCCTTGTTTGGCAGAGGCCCGCAGCCTCTCCTGCTGCCTTTGCTTTCACCCTTTCTACATGGTGAACCCTAATATTTGGAGCAGCTCTGGCTCCTAAAGTGGCCGAAAACAGGCCCAGTGCCCCATCACTGGTACCAGAGCTTGGTGTTGGAGCAGGCAGTGGGTTCTGCCCACATCCCTTCAGGGACAGCAGGCAGGCAGTCTGTCCAGGCCCTCCCCAGGGTCTGACCCTCCACCAGGCCCAAAGGTCCACAAGTGGCCACCTGGGGTGTGCGGGGTCTGCTCTTGGGACATCTTTGGCCGAGGTGCAGTGGAGGAACACCGATCAGTGTGTCCCTGGCAACTGGGTCAGCACCAGGCTGAGCCGCTGGCCACACTGCAGCCCCTTCTCCGGTGGTTTCTTTAGGATGACTCGGACTCGGGCCTGAGGGGAGCAGCGCAGCTATGGAGCCCCGACCACCCCTGGAGGCCAACAGCCCCGCCTTCTAAATGGGCTCGGTTTCTCCTGCCACCTGCACACACCCCACAGGACACAGAGCCACCGGCATCAGCACAGAGCGGGCCCAGGCCAGCCAGTCCAGCGCAGGCCATCCCTGGGGAAGGGGAAGGCTGCTTCAGCAGGCCTGCCGCCCCCACCCTACCTCCTCGGGCCACGCTCACACCAGGGCCAGGCCCTGAGAGGCCCTGCGGGCAGAGCCCTCGGGCCGAGGGCTGTCAGGCGGCCCCAATCCATGGGCTGTTCAGCCTCTTCTCAACTGGGGAGGACTTTGAGGACAGCCTGTGAGGTGAGGCCAGGTCCCCAGGACAACGCTGTCAGAGAGCTAGGACAGCAGCAGGGTTAAAGTGCGTATGCCGTTTAATTACAGGGGATTCCAGATCAGGGTGGCTGCAGAGGGAGTTTGTGTTTTAAAGCACTTAACACATTTGGAAATGAGAACTAGAGTGGTCAGGATCCTAAGTGAAACCCTAAGCTGGATTTACCCTGATTTCCCCTCACCAGCCCCGCCGCTCCCAACAGCAAACCCGCTGGCCAGGCTGCACCTCCTGGGGATTCAGATGTCGGTGCTGTGCACACCGCAGCAGCAATGAGACAGGAAAGCGGGCTCGGGACAGCGCCAGGGCACCATCACAGTGGCGGGTGCTTGGAGTACTGGATGGTGTCCAGGGCAGCCCCAATGTCGTAGTTCTTGGTCTGCAGGAGGCGGGTGAGCCAGCCGCCTTCATCAGAGAAGCCCATGGACAGCATCTGGGACAGTGACTCGATCAGCCGGGGGTCAGCCTCTGCCAAAACAGGACCCGAGCCAGGAGGTGAGCACTGAGACCTGGCCTCAGACACGTACTGGCCAACCCTTCCCTGCCGGGGGACTCCGCAGTGTGTTCAGCCCTGCCAGTGCCATGCAGCACCAGCCAGACCGTGTGTGCCCAAACAGGCATGGCTCTGCCCTATAAAGCTTCACTGCCAGGCACGGTGGTTGCTGTCTTCAGTGACTAAGCTACTCAGCTACTAAGTGACTCAGTGACTCAGCTACTCAGGAGGCTGCCAGTGAAGGCTGGGCCCGCCCCATGGCCTCCCCACCCCTCCTAGCTGGCCCCAGGGATGCGCCCAGCTCCCCACATGCAGGTGACCTCCAGGCACCGTAGAGAACAGGCAGTGAGGCCCAATGCTGCCTTTACACCAAGCACCTCCGCGGCGGCCCCTGAATGTCGAGACAAGTTCTCTCCCTCACTAAATTGCCCACTGACTCCCTGCCTCACCCTCCCAGTCACAGGTGTGTGCTGCTACGCCAGGCTGGCCTTCTCAATTTTCGGTCTGTGTGGTTTTTTGTGTTTTGTTATTTTTGAGACAGGGTCTTGCTACGTAGCCTGGCCTTGAACTGGTGGCGATACTGCCTCAGCCTCCCAAGCTAGGTGTTAAATTTTAGATAGTACTACAATTGGCTGGGCTTGTGTCACTCAGGACCTATTCTTCATTTTCTGTCACTGATGAGCCCACAGTACAGGCCACCTGATCCTTCTGTCTGTCCTTGACTCAGAAGGTGGAGTAGTGCTCTGCTGAAAGGAAGAGGAGAAACTTGAGAGCACTTGCCTGGTGGGAGGTGCGGGTACAAGGCAGCCTCCTTCAGCCCTGTGGGCCCCTCCTGGGAAGGGTCCAGAGAGCTCAGCTCTTCCGACTCTGGCATCTGGAGGGACTGAAGCTCCCCGGTGGAGGGGTCCACTTCCTTTGAGGACAGATGAGTCCAGTCCTCGTCTCCTCCCGAACAGTTGTCAGACTCCATCTGCTCCTGGGAGGACACGCACTGTGAGCAGGCGGCCAGGCAGGGGAGCTGCTAGCTGGACTCCAGCAGAAGGCTCATTAGGGTGACCTAATGTCCCTCTGGCTGGGGCGAGGCTGCGGGAAGAAGCAGGCCTACCTCGGGCTGCCCTGTGGGCTCCAGGGCGATCTTTCTCATCTGCTCTGCCAGAGACTGCGCTATGCCCTTGCCACTGCCCTCTGGCTTGCTTGGTTCAGAAGAGCAGCTGCTTGGCTGGGAGCTGCCCTTGTCATCTGTGCTGGAGCTCTCCGGGGAGATGGATGTCAGGCGGCTCCTCTTCCCTCCGTGCTCCACGTCAATGTCAACTTCAATGCCTGGAGGCCACACAGCAGCAGCTGTGAGGTCGAGGCCTCATGCAGGGTCTCAGCGTGAGGGGCTGCGGGCTTAGAAAGCTCAGCTCTGCACCACCAGCCCTCAAGGGTGGGTACAGGGACACTGGCCCTGGGCTCAACCCCAGAGCCTTACAGCTCTGGATGTGACCCTGTAAGATAACCTCACCAGCCGGAAGCAAACGGATGGTCACCCCCCCCCCACCTCAGAGGAGCACAGAGGTGGAACTGCTTCTCCAAATGCAGTGGTCCCAAATCCTCTCAACTTTTTGAAACACGTCTAACACACCCATCACACTGGACCTTCCCCTTCTCCAGCGAGGTCAAACATTAATCTCAGCTGGCATCCAAGGTCAGTTTCTGGACCACAAAGTCCATAGTGCAGCCTCATGTTTCTTATGTAAGCAGGACCACAGGTAAGGAGGACCAGTACCAGGGTGGCCACAGGGAGCCCACATGACAAGCGTGTGCAAACCCTGGGACTGAGAAGGCAGCCAGATGCAGACCAAGAGCAGCGCCCAGAGGCTGCACAGCACAGGGCCAGCACCTCAACCCCACCCAGGCTTAGTGGGGAACGGAGGGCAGAGTCAGCCCTGCCATTTTCCGACTAACCTATATCGAAGGAGCCCCTCCAGTCCAGCTCCTCCTACCTGATGGCTCAATTCTGGGTTAAAACATCCCTAGCAGGCCTAGAACTGAGGAGGAAGGCTACCAGGAAAATCCCACCGGGAGGTGCCACAGCCATCCTCTCTGGGGCTCCAGGCTCCTCCCTGGTGACAAGCAGCAGCTCTCCTAGGCAGGCTGCCATGGGCCATCACCAGGCCTTGAAGGCACTCTGTGACCTGCACTGGGGCTTTCATGCCACCCCCTGCTCCCTGGCCTGTGTCACTGGTCCCTAAGCTGGTGACCTTCTCTCCACTGCTGGCTGTGCAGCCACACAGCTCTCTGGTGCCTCCACTGATGGTTCCCATCCTCCACCCACTTTCGTCTTCCAAGATCTGATGACTTTGTCTTCTCTTACTGTTTTGTTTGTCCTGATCCATGGTCCTTTAGGTCTGCCCCTATTGTTACTTTAGAAGAGTTGGCAGAAAGACGGACCTAGGGCTAGGGATGTAACTGGTGGTAGACGGCTTGCCATACATGCACAAGGCCCTGAGTCTAATCCCCAGCACGACACACACATACACAACTTTGCAATGAAAAGGCTCAAGCAAAGCCAGGCATGGTGGCACACACCTATAATGCCACCATATGGGAGGCTGAGTCAGAAGGACCCCCAGTTCACGCCAGCCAGCCCGGGTTACCTGGCAAGACCGCCTCAGGAAAACAGAAAAGACAGTTCAGACTAATGGAAAAGTTAAAATACTAACAGTGAACACCTTTGTTTTTTTTATAAAACAGCAAATGATGTACCCCTTCTGTGAAAGAATCCAAACAGAATAAAACCTTCAGAAGCTGTTACCCTCCTCCTAAAGGGCCTCTGAGCATTTCCAAAATCACTCCCAACAACATGCTGAGTGGGGAATCCAGTTTAGAGGTATCCAGAGCTGTGTGCTCTGGAACGGGGGCCCAGAGTGACCCAGCCATCTTCTGACAGGGCCCCCATGGGCCCCCAAAAGCCACTTGGCACACAAGAGTCCTCCCTTGAACTTAGCCTTGCCTTTATGACTTGCCATGCAGGGCCATTGTACAGACTAACAAGGCTGGGGAGGGACCTCAACAGTGGAGCCTAGCCTGTCTCATCCCCAGCACTGCCAAAAATAGAAGGATCATTTTCATAAGGTTTCCACACACCAAACACGGGCCCCCAAAAAGCTGCTGTTGGTGACCCTGCTGTTCACTGACTCACGTTGCAGAGTCCTAGGCTGGAAGAACAGCTCTCAGTGTCCAGCCTGGGTCCCAGTGAGCAGCACACACACACACAGCAGCACACGTGCTCCTCTGTGCTGCTCCCTGAACGCGCCAGAGGTCACTGGCCTGGGACAGCATTAGAATCTCAGTTCTCAGGTGGAGTGCAGATCCAGCAGATGTGAAAACCTGGCTTCCACCCATTGCTTTTCTTCTCATTCCAAAAGCCTCTAACTGCAGAAGCCATGAGTGGTCTGGGCAATTTCACAGCAGCAAGGCCAAGAACTCACTTCACTTCCTGGGCTGCATCAGAGGCAGGGTGTGGGCGTGCACAGAAAGTGCCTGTGAAAAGGCTGGGGTGTAGCACAGCTCAGTGGTAGAACCCTTATCTGGCATACTTTAAAGTCCAGGAGGGCTAGGGACTTAGCTCAGTGGCACCACACCTCCCTCACAAGCACAAGGTCCTGAGTTCAATCCCCAGCCCTGCAAAAACCAAACAGCCAGCTTTGGGTGGCCATGCCCCAAAGCCACTGCAGGCTTATCCACAGGCCCAGAGGCAGCGCTGGGTCAAGCAGGATGGGCACTCTCTGCCGCTGCCGGGCACCATGACAGGCCTCTTTACTGCAGTGCTGGATCCATCAGACTCATGAACCCGACACCCTCTTTAGCCAGTTCTCCCTGTCCCAAAGCCTAGCACCCACCTCCCAGCCATCAGAAGGATGTGTCAGGCACATCCTAAGGCCAGTGTGCTGCAGAGGTGGTGCCCAAGGTCGGGTCCCAACACTCTGAGAGGCACAGTACTCACCAAGCTCCCCACCCCAGACCTACTGTGTGCCCAGAGGCACCCAAATCAGGCTCAGCACAGCAAGCGCTGGGGGTTCCCAACAGATAAACAGCTACTACTACCAAGCCCGAGTCCCATGCCAGGGCTCAGCTGAGGGAAAAGTTATTTCCTCCAGAGACAGAAGGGGACAGACCAGCCCCCTCAAGCCAGTCTGGTCAACCTCCCAGCTAGGGTGACCTTCGTAAAACTCTGGCTGATGCCACCCCATTTCACAGAGAAGGCTGAAACCTGTCAGGGAATTCCAGCTTGAGATGACTGCAGCCTGGCCCGTGGCCAAAGTGGGTCTGAGGGAACAAAATCTTTAAAGATCGAGCACATCAGTTTCCTATTCCTCTGCACCATGCCAGGTGAAGGTTGCAAGGAGGCCATGTGCACAGCAAGTCACCAAAGTGGTGATCTCAAAAGACAAAGAAGTCACTTACCCAGAGGGCTCAGGGCAGCTGCCACACTCTCCCCTACGTTCTTCAGGAAATTTACACTGGGATCCTCTGATGGGCCAGAAGCTTTGGGTTTTACAAAGAAAAAATGATTTAGTGCCTTTGATGCCCACCTCAGTCCTAGCACCTGCATGACAAGGCTCTTACTATCCCAGTGGTCACCATCTCAGGTCACCTTGTGCTGGCAGCACACACTCCCACCTCCCCATCCTCGACTCTTCCTCCATCCTGTGACCCTCGTGTTCCCTAACCCTGCAGAAGCTCTGTATTATAATGTGTAAATACTGTGTCCTAGATAGGCTCTATTCAAAACCGAATGAATATTCCCAACTTTGTCCCAAAGATTAAGAATCCAAGGACACAGTAATAAAAATCCAAACTCTAGAACACAAAGCTGTGTGTAAGTTTTTAACTCTGATCATGCCAGGCATGGCGGTACACGCCTATAATCCCAGCACTCAGAAGGCTAAGGCGGGATTGCAGGGGCTACACAGTGAGTTCAAGGCCAGCCAGCCTGACCTACACAGTGAGACCCCTTTTCTACATGAAATTTGAGCATCTTTGGCCGTGACATTCCTGACAGAAACACAAAAGAAAACAGGGTACATGACAGAGATGCAGGGGCAGAAGGGCCTCCCAAGGCACCTCAGGAGGGCAGCCTGGTAGGAAGGGCCACCTGAGTTAGTGACCTTGGGCACTTAGCTACCTTGGTTTCACCGTCTGTGAAATGGAAGGATGCTGCATTCTACAGGGTTCTATAAGGGTTAAATGGCATGGGTGGTGGCTGGGAAATACCCGGCCTGCCATGGCCACAGCAGGAGTTCAGGACACAGGAAGGCTCAGCTACAGGCCTTCCACAGCACATACTCTGCCTGGCTGCCAACCCAGCCTTCAGGGCCACCGTAGGTGCAAGCCTCACCTGACTCTGCCCTGGGGCGGGCATCTCCCACTCGAGGACGTGGGCTCCAGTGGCCTGGTGGGCCCATCTCCCAGCCAGGCCACCGGCAATGCCCATGTTTCAGCTTCCGGAACCAGCGGCTGTGAGCGAAGCCCTGAGGAGAAAGCAGCGGGGAGGGAGGGCAGTGAGGGCCAGGGTCCCAGGCTCTTGCCACCCATCCTGCACTGGCCCCTGCACCACCGGGTGCCCTACCTCAGCAAAGTGCTCCAGGGGGCTGGCCAGCGGGAGCTTGTTGTGCTCCCTGTGAATGCCTTTCCCCTCGCAGGCGCCACACAGGTCGTAGTTGGGGCACACACTGCACTTGTACCGAGTTCCCACCACAGGCCCGTCACAGCCGTCGCAGATCACGTTGGGGTGTACCATGGGGTGAGGCACTTCCTGCGCACAGTGGGGGCGGTGCTCCCTCCGGTACTCTTTCTTCTCTGCAGGGAGGGCAGATGGGCATTCAGTAGAGTGAGCCCCCCAGTCCCCCCTGGCTATGTCACTACTGGGCAATGGAGTCCAAAGGCAGATGCACAGGGGACAGTAACAGCACCAGAGACCCTGGCAGAAGGACCCTACCTATCCTGTTAACCAGGGATGGATGGCACAGGCAGAGCAGAAGCAGCACCTCTGGCCTCGGTCCTCCCCCAAACCCAAGGCTTCCCCTGCTCCAGCACCTGACCCCAGCCCCTAGCTGGGACACAGCATTTGACACGTCCATGTCCTTGAGAACCTGCAGGTTCCTGACTCGTTTTTCCCTGCTATCAGGCAGCAGCCCCTCACCTTTAATGTAGATGCGGAAGATGTCGTCCTTCACATAAGACATGGCCATCATCAGCTCCTCATCACTGGAAAAAGCCACCAAGTCCCCGTCCTCATCTACATGGTTTAAAGACAGCAAGCACATCAGGGCTGGGATGTGGCTCAGAGGTAGAGCACTTGCCTAGCATGCTTAAAGCCCTGGATTCAATCCCCAGTCCCCCTTCCCCCCCAAAAGAGGGAGACAGCAAGAGCACCTGGATTATTCTCCACCAGACACAGCTGCTGAAGTGTGCTGAGGCTACGGGGAAACAAGGACAGGGCTCTAAACTGAGTTAGGGGAAGCAGGGGTAAAAAACAAGATTGCCTGTTCACTCTGACATCACCTGCATAGTTAAGCTGAGAGTCCATCTCAAAAAAAAAAAAGACACTTGAGGGAAAAATTCTGATTCCTTACAGTAACCCTTAAACTTAACTAGGGTAGGGCCAGGGATTTAGCTCAGTGGCACCCCGCCTGTCTTGCAAGCACAAGGTCCCGAGTTCAATACTCCGTAAGGATCCCCGATACACAAAAAAACTCAACTAAGGCACTGAGTTATCTGCCTGTAGTCCCAACTACGTCAGAAGGCTGAGGCAGGAGTATCACTCAAGCCCAGCTGGAACAGTGAGACCCCCATCTAAAAACCAAACAAAAGGACTAAATTTGTATCTACAGGCCAAGCCACCAAATAGCAAAATTTATAAGAACTAGGGCCACCCCCAAAGATGGAAACAATTTAGAAGTTCACAAACTTAAAAGATGCGGCTTATGTGAGCAATGGGATTTATCCAGTCACTAAGAATAAAGTACTGCTGCATGCTACGACAGACAACCTTGTGCACACTTTGCTAAGTGCAAGAAGCCTTACAAGACTCCGTTTATATAAAGGTCCACAAGAGAGAAAGGACTAAAAGATATTAGTTGTTGTCCACGGGTGGGGAAGATGGGAGGATGGGGGATAACAAAAAGTAGTTTATAAAGTGATGAAAACCTTCTAAAATTGTGACCGTTCCAAAAACCTGAAAAATAGGCTAAAAGGGCCGGGGATTTAGCTCAGTGGTTCCGCCGCCTGCCTCACAAGCGCAAGGTCCCAAGTTCGATCCCCGGTACCAAAAGAAAAAAACCCCAAAAATAGCTAAAGCACGCAAGCACAAGGACCTGAGTTCGATACCTGGTACCAAAAAAAAAAAAAAAAAAGTGGGAAAAATAGCTAAAGGATTTTTTTCTCTACCCAGAATACTTTTCCCCCAGGGCTAGGGATCGAAGCCAAGGCCTTCACACTGAGCTGCATTCCCATCCCTTTTTTCTTTTTAGTCAGGATCTCAGTCACCAAGTTGCCCGGCCTGGGCTCAACTTGTGCTCCTCCGGCCTCAGCAGCCCAGCGTGCTTGCTGGGATTACGGGCACACCCGGCGAGCCATGCACTTCGAAAGGGTGAGCTGCTGGGCACGGTGGCACAGGCCTGTGATCCCAGCACTCCCTCGGGAGGGCTGGGGCAGGAGCGTCACTGAGGACCTGCGTGGTGAGGCCCCGACTCAAAACAAGACCAGACAAAAACAGAGAAACAGGTTAACTGCATGCGATTTACAACTCGGGGAAGTTCCGCACAGAGAGGCACTACCTCTTCGCTCCAAGACCTTGCGCTTGCGAGCAGGCGCGGCCCAGGCGCTCTTTCTGCGGACAGCACAGCGGCCCGGCGGGAGGGCGGCGCTCGGAGGCGGCGCCGGCGCCGTGAGCTCCCAGGGGCGGACTTGGCCGCTCCCACCCCGGCCACAACAAGCCCCGGCCCCGCCCCTGAAGGCCGCCAAAGCCGAAGAGCCCGGGTTCTGAAGGCCGCGGACCCGCTCCGTACTCGGCGCTCGGCCAGGGCCGAGGGTCCCGGCCAGCCGCCGCCCCCGAGCAGCCCCGCGCCCCTCCGCGTCGCCCCCAGGCCCGTGGGGCTTTCGCTCGGCCGCAGCTGGCAGCTGCGGGGCCCCGTGTAACCCGCAGAGAATGCCAGGCCAACCCCCCTCAGGTCGCCGCTCTCACCGCGGTAGTGCGCCTGGAAGCCGCCGGGCCGCAGGCCCGGGAACAGGGCGGCCACCCGCCTCAGCAGCCGCTCGCAGGGCCCGGGGGCCGCCGCCGCCTCCTCGGCCTCCGCCTGCGACTCGGGGCTGAAGCCGAAGCTGAAGCGGCGGATCTCGCGCGCCGCCTCCTCCTTGCCCAGTAGGTAGGCCTTCACGGTGAGCGACGCCATAACAGACAGGCACGAGCGCGAAGCACGGGACACAGCTGAGGCGCTGCGCGGCCCCCTTTATAGGAAGGCCGAGCCCCGCCCCGCGGCCCGAGGGCGGGGCCTCTCCGCCTTTCCCCGCTCCGCCGCCAGGCCGCAGCTCGCGACACCCCCTGGCGGGGCCCCGCGCCCGACGCCCCCTCCTCCCTGCCGCCCCCCCCCCCGCCCCCTCAGTGCCATCGCCGCTGCGCAGTGCCCCCGGACGCGGGCACCCCAAGAGCGGCCCAGCCCTGACCCGGGCGAAGGGACCGCAGGTGTCCTCCTCCGGCCTGGCTGTGACTCAGCAGTGCGGTCCCCACCCGGCCGCGGTTCCCGGCGCAGGGCGCACAGAGCAGGCAGAGGACCGAGGCCGGGCGGCGCCCCTCCCCGCATGGCGCCTCCTCGTGCAGTGCCCGCCGAGTTCGGGTCGGACCCGGGCTGCTCCCGAGCCAGGGCCGGCGAGGGCTGCCCGGAAGTCAGAGATCACCAAGTGACACTGTGGCCCGAGGGTTCCCCACGGGGCTTGCGAGGCCCCAGGACGCTGGTGAGGGGCGCGAAGGCCGTGGGCAACTGGGCAACGCAGAATGTCCCCCGAGGAAGCCCCCCGCCCGCGTCCTCCAAGAGGAGCGATGGAGTCTGTGGGTTCACAGGAAGCTCGGGCACTGGGGAAGCCGAGAAGGAGGCGCTCGGCAGGCTGGGGTCCTTCCCCGAAGGCTCGTCCAGTCCCGGGAGGCCCCCATCCAGCTATGAGCCAGGAAAACTCCCAGCCTGCACGCAGGGTCAGGGGACGCGCTGGGCAGAGGTGCTCCAGGCAGAGCCTGAGCCCAGCCCTGGGGCTGCAGCGTGGATGGGCCCAGGAAAGCCCCCTGGCTCTGGGCACCAGGCCTTCGGGACAGCTCAGGGCCCCTGTGGGTGCCTGCAAGGTCCCCTTAGTACCCTCACCATTTGGAACCCGTGGTGGGTTTCAGGGAAGTGGTGGAGAGGCTGCCCCTGCTAACAGCCCTCGCCCTGCTCCGCACACTTACAGCGGGGAACCCCCTGGCAGGGCCCTCTTGAGGCCTTGTGATCAGGTGGCCTGGCCTTGCCGGCCCTGAGTCATCATCCCATGACTACCACCATCTTGGTGGGAATCCCCTGCGCTGCCACCATCTCAGTGACAACAGGTGGGGGTGAGGAGGGGCTCCAGGACCCCGGGGCTGTCTTTGGGGGACCCCAGAGCAAAATGAGCTCTCAGAGGCCAAGGCTGCCCTGACCAATCCACTGGTCCTGCCATCGTCTGATGTCTTTCCCATTCCCTCCGGCGACACTCGAGCCCCCACGCTCTGGAGCACGTTATGGACACCGAGAAAGGAGAGGGGACACAGGACTAAGCAGCCCTGCCACCTCCAGCACGCGATCACCTCCTCTTGCCTTTTGCTTTTCTTTCATGGGTGGTGGGGAATAAACCCAGGGCCTTCACACTGAGCTACATTTTCAGGGTTTTTTGAGACAGGATCTTACCGGGTAGATAGCCCAGGGTGGCCTTGAATTCACATTGATCAGTGCCTCAGCTAAAGTTCCTGCTGGGGGGCGGTCAATTTGCAGCCCTCTAACATATCTGAATATGTTAACCTATGTAAATAGAAAGCTAACACGATAAATATAGAGAAAAATGTGCCTGGGGGAGACTGGCTACCTCCACCCCACCCCAGCTGTGACACCAGCAGAGATCCTCCTGCCTCAGCTTCCCAGTGCTGGGATCACAGGTGTGTGCCACCACACCCAGCTTTGTTTTGGTTTTTTGGGTTTTTTTGAGACAGGGTCTCAGGCTGCGCTGGAACTTTCCATCCTCTTCCCTCATCCTCTCAGAGGGCTGAGATTGCAGGCATCCACAACTACGCCCATGCATCTCTCCCCATCTTTGAAATGGGTCCAGAGTTGGAGGACTTGTAGCACTGATCGAACAGTGGGGCGGAGGAGTTCGCTTCCCTCAGCACAGAGGAGCCTGGGCAGCACCCGGGGTCTCCTCCCTCCTCTCTCTCCTTCACCCGCTGAGCTGGGAAGCCTCCCGGGACCATTCTGCATAACCTTAGACTAAGGGATCTTCGGCCCTTCTTTCTCTCTTGCCCGAAAGCCCGACAGTTCTGCATGGCTTGCAGTGTTCCTTTTCTGTTGCCCCAGCACCATTTCTCTGTAACCTTCTGTAAGTCCAGCTCAGGGAAGGCCGAGGCAGGAGTATCACCATGAATTCAAGCCAGGCCTGAATTATGAAGTGAGACCTTGTGTCAAAAAATAAAATAAACCTAACTGCCTTTCCCTCACCACCTAGTATGCAACGCTGTGCAGTTCTTTGCAGACTACGGAGTCTGTCGGGGGTGCCACAGTTAGGTTGGGTGGCCCTGGCCCAGGTGTGCTTCTTGTTTGGGTGGGACTGGGGCAGGGTTCTGATTCCCCGAGGAGAGCAGGAGGGCGTGGTGGGGTGAAGGACCAGGCTGGGAAGAGACTTGAGTCTGGAGGTGCGCGCACACACCCACACACACACACCTCCCACACACACACACACCCACACCCCCGCGGGGTGCCTGGAGTTGTAGAGAGCTGTTAGGTAGAAATTCTGTAGGCAGTCAGACAGGGCTGGGCCGTCCAGTGGTGTGGAGGAAGGTGACCAAACTGTGCCTGGAGGTGCATCTGGAGGTCAAAGTCCCACTGGGCAGATCTGCATACTTCCCTGAGGGATAAACAGAACCTTGGGACTATTGGCACCACCCTTGTGGGCTTCCCTATAGATACAGGTTATCTCACTGGGGGTGGGCCAACCTCCTCCACCCACTAGTACCACAGATTATCCACGACTCAACCCTTACACCCCTGTGACCACGGGTCAGTGTAACCTAGGGGACTATCCTTGTAATCTTATTACTTGATTATAGCTGTTACCCATCTTGTACCCACCTCCTGGCTTTGATGTATAAAACTTCTCTGAGGGTTGGGGATTTAGCTCAGTGGTTCCACCACCTGCCTTGCAAGCAGAAGGACCTGAGTTCGATCGCCTGTACCAAAATAAATAAATAAAATAAAACTTCCTTTGAGAAGTGAGTTTGTTGGCAACCCCTTCAGACCCCACCTGTCTCAGGAGCTATTCTTATTCCACCTTCCTATTCCCCAATAAATTGTCCTACTCTTAACATCCCTTGTCCCTTAGAATTCATTCATTCTTCACTTTGGAGAACGTCTAGGGTGTTCGAGTGACATCTATTCCCCTTGTGTCACTCCTGTATCATCGGGCAGTCCGAGTCCTCCTGCCCTCTGCTGTCTTGTCAACACCTCCTCGGTGCCCCCCCCCCCGTGGTCTTCTGTCCTTGGGGTGCGGGTCGGGCGACAGGTGGGTGCATGAGGAGCCCCAGGCCCGCCCCAGCTAGGCGGGGCTGCAGGTCGCATGGCCTCTGAGTGGCGCCTCACTGCACCTGCCTGCCCCGGGGAGCCGCCATCGCCGAGATCCATCGGCGCTCTGTGCGCCCGTCCGGCCCTCCCGAGCAGAGCCTCCACCCTGACCGCACCTTCCGGGCTGCCCTCCCTGTGGGGCGTGTTCCTGGTGTGAGGGTCGGCTGGGCCTGGCCCTGAAGCGTCGGGGGACCTGGTGGGAGCGTGGGGTGACGCCGGCTGCTGCAGCACAGGAAGGCCGGGCAGCCCTCGAGGCGGACGGCCCCGAGGCCGGGGACACTCCGGACACACTCGCCGCGGTGCGCGCGGCCCGGAAAGCGCCCAGCGGGGCAGCAGGAACACGGCCGGCCACCGGGCGGCGCCCGGCACAAAGACAGGAGGGCGCGGGCGCCCGCTTGGCAGCTGCGCCCGGCCCCTCCCAGCGCCCGAGGGTGGGTCCCGGTCCCCGGCGGGCTCCGGGCCCAGCTGGACGTGGCCGGCGCTGCCCTTGCCTCACGGCGGCAGGAAGCGGTCCCGGCGCTGCCGTAGGCGAGCGTGCCACCGGCCGCGTCCCGGGGCTGCCCACTGGGGGGCGCCTGCGCCGGTTTACTGCGCAGGGCAGCCGGAGCCCAAGGAGGGGCTCGGACAGCTGCGCCCCTGCCAGGCTGTCCTGTCCCGAGGTCATGGGTGGCCGAGACTGTCCCCGGGCCGGGGTGGCTTCCCAGAGGCTGCGCACAGGCGCAGGGGCCAGAGAGGCTCCCAGCCCGGGGAGGGGAGGAGGAGAGGCCAGCGCTGTCCCGGGGGAAGGTCAGGCCCCGACCCAGCAGCGCGGGAGCCCCAGGGCTGTGCCCACAGCAAAAGCACTGGACTCCGGTCCCCAGCTTCCCCGTGAACACCTTTCCTGAAGGTCGTCTGACTTCAAGGATCCAGACCTTTCTTGCTCCCAAAGATCTCGCGCCGGGGCGGGGGCGGGGGCGGGGG